GCTTCCAGGACCACTCTCATGACAGTATGATCACCCTAGAGGTAGACTCCCTACTGCAAAGGGGATTGATAGAGCCTGTTCCTATGGCATTTCAAGGTGCAGGGTTCCATTCCACTTATTTCCTGGTGCCCAAGAAGAAGGGAGGATGGAGACCACTCTTAGATCTCTGTCATCTCAGCCACTTCATACGTAAACCAAAGTTTCATATGGCAACCTTTGTAGCCATTATACTCTCAATAGAAAGAGAGATGTGGTTTATGGATCTTGATATGCAAGATGCTTGTTTCCATTGAGATATCCATCCTACCCACAGACAGTTCTTGAGATTTACGGTAGGCCCAAGACACTTCAGAGTTATACCGTTCGGACTCACCACTGCTCCACAGGTCTTCACTGTTGTCAAGGGGCTCTTATATTTCCCTTATCTCAATAACTGGATGCTACAGTGTGATCCAGACAAGAAGCTCAAGCCTTGACCTCTTTGCTGCTCCTACTCCTTTCCTCCCTGGGGTGAGCGTATCCCACGCAGTCCATATAGTACTTCAGGGCACATAATGATGTGGTCTAGGTACATGGCTACATACCAGAGGATAGATTTCAGGCCTTGCAAGCACTGATTACCACAGTGGCCACCAGTACTTCTGTTCCAGCCAGAGCTTGCCTTTCCCTTCTTGGCCATGTGGCAGCATGCATGTACGTCACTGCCTTCACTCATCTCCGCTTCTGATGCCTACAGCTGTTGCTCAAGAGAGCCTATTATCCCACGCACCATTCCATGGACCTCTTACTAACAGTTTCCCCTGAGGTTCTCTGTTCCCTTCGATGGTGGATGGATCCAGCTCAGGTTTTCACCGGGATACCCTTTTTCCATCTTCTCCAAGCATGATGATCATCACAGATGCATTGCTCAACGGCTGGGGTGCCCACATAGGCAAACTCATGACACAAGGAACTTAAACGGCTCTTTGCATGGTAAGGACAGCATGTCATGCATTTCTCCCATCCATTCACTCCTGTGATGTCATTCTTATCATGTCAGACAACAATACCACCATTTACTACATAAACAAAAAAGGGGACACGAGGTCACCAGCGCTTTGTGCAGAAGCAGTTCATCTCTGGGACTGATGCCTTACCCACAAGATCCTGTTGTCAGCGGCCTGTCTTCTGGGGACTCAGAACATGATTGCAGACTCTCTCAGCAGGAAATTTGTGGCCGACCATGAATGGGAGTTACACAACTTTGTGATTGCCATCATTTTCGACTGCTGGAGGACTCTGACCAGAGGCCTACTTTGCCTCCAGCACCAATAGCAAATACATCCAGTACTGCTCCTGGGGAGGGCTCGGCACCCTTTCCCAAGGCAATGCCCTAGTTATCCACTGGTCGTACCAGATCAGTAATGCCTTTCCTCCCCTACCACTCCTGCTGTGTATCCTATACGAGATCAGATGGGAGAGTGGGGGAACTACGGTCATCTTGATCGCCCTGTTCTGGCCTCACCAATTCTGGTTTTCCCTTCTTTTCTGCGTGTCTACATGTCCCCTGCTTCCGCTCCCAGCTTTTCTGGAACTGCTCATGCAGCATAACGGCAGGATCAGACATCCCAATCCGCACACCCTTCACCTGAGATCTTGGTTTTTGGATGGGCATCTTCGTTAGAATGGGAATGTTCGTTGGCAGTACAGTATGTCCTCTCAAGTAGCAGGAAAGAGTCCACAAGGCAGTCCTATTGGGCCAAGTGGAATCATTTCACCTTCTGGGCCCAGCAGAAGAGTCTTGCCCCTGAAGCCATGGGCATTCCTCTTCTCTTGGACTATCTCCTGTCCCTGAAGGAGTCAGGACTCACTCTCAACTCTGTCAATATGCTGTGACGTTATGAGTGTAATATAATATTTCATTGGAAGGTGACAGGGCCAGAAAGAGTTAATTAACTCACAGACTGACCTGACCTATGGGTGAACCTTAAGGACTGGTTAGGAAGATATGTAAATGAATAGAGCTTTGAAATGCAAGTCTGCATTGTTAGAGATCTCAAGGGTAGATGTTTGCTCAGGTCTTGTGATGTAAGCAAACAAGTCTTGTCTATTGCTATAACTTTAATTCAAAGATCAAAAAAGGAATATTAACATTTATGATACTTGAGTGAAATAGTATTATTGTCTATATGTCTTTTTGAAGGTTGTGGTAACCTGTATCTGAACTGTTTAATGGATAAATTATCCTGTGCCATGATGTTTAGAAGAAGGAAAGTTGAGCCTATTGTTTTCTCAGGCCAAAAGGCTGCTGGAAGTGTATAAAAACCTTGGGACACGATCCTTCTGCATCTCAGATCTGCTTTGGGTTTCAACAGGGGGAAACCTTAAGCCACAAGGATTGAGATCCCCAGTCATTGACTGGAGCCACCCTGAATATGGACATTGGACTATAACCTATAGACTATATCTAAAACGACTTTTGGCAACTACAAGCTCACCTCTGCTATGTGTCTGAACCTCAAGAATTGAATTCAAGTCTGTATGTATATTGATCTTTTAATCAACACACTCTCTCTTTTCTTGTTTAATACATTTTAGCTTAGTTAATAAGAATTGACTATAGCGTGTATTTTGGGTAAGATTTAAGTTATAATTGGACCTGGGTTGTGGCTGATCCTTTGGGATTGGAAGAACCTTTTCTTTTATATGATGAGATAAGATTTTCAGTAATCATCATCATATCTGACAGGTGTGCTGGACGGAGGCCTGAGGCTGGGCACTTTAAGGGAACTGTGTTGTTTGGACTTCTGAGTAACCAATGAGGTACGATAGAAGCTACTTTGTGCTGGGTTGGTAAATCTAAGTATTAGAATAACCACCAGCTTTTGGGGGTTTGTCTGCCCCGTTTTGTTTGCAGTTCACCCTGATTGAGTGACCTCAGTTGGCTCCCACGGGCAGCATCGTCACAGATGCACATAGCAAAAATTAGTGCTTTCCACCCCCATTTGGAAAGGCATTCTGTCTTTACACACCCCTTGACTACAAAGTTTCGGAAGGACCTCCTACAAACGTATCCTTCCGTTCAACGCACTGCTCCCCAGTGGGATCTCAACTTTGTCCTCACAACATTGATGAAATTACCCTTTGAACCACTAGCCTCCAGCTCCCTGTCTCTCCTCTTCATGAAGGTCACATTCCTAGTAGCTATTATTTCTGCGAGAAGAGTATTCGAACTGGAGCCCTCATTTACCACATTCCATAAGGATAAAGTTTCCCTGCACTTGCGTCCCCAGTTTCTGCCAAAGGTTGTATCCCATTTTCATCTCAACCAACCCACACATTTGCTTGCTTTCTGAAGCCACACACCTCAGTGGAGGAACAGTGCCTTCATTCACTCAACATCTGCGGGGCCCTGGCCTACCTGCAGAGGACAAGATCATTCAGGAAGTCTCCTAGTCTCTTTATCGCTATAGCAGAAAGGATTAAGGGGCAAGCAATCTCTGCTCAAAGTATTTCTAAGTGGATTTCAGGATGCATTACACACAGCTATCTGTTATTGGAAGACCCCCCACACACACACTTGGTGTATACCTTCTCTTCCCAGTACACCTCGGTGCAAGACTCTGCGATGGATGCCCTGTTCAGCATGGCTGTTCTTCGTTCCACAGTTCCATCATCTTCCTTCTCACTATGTACCGCTTGTTAATCAGTCTCAGTGGAATACAATAGGGACCATCACTCAAAGAAGATGATGAGGTTACTTACCTGTAACTGGAGGTTCTTCAAGATGTGTAGTCCCTATCTGTATTCCAATCCCGCCCTCCTTCCCCTCTGCTGTGGATTTCTTGGTTCGCAGTGGAGAAGGAACTGAGAGTGTGGTTGTTTCACCCTGCCCTTCATCGCCTTGGATGTAACCATGAGACAGAGCAAGGGCACATGTGCAGACCAGCAGACACTACTACTTTCAAAATCTCCAGCTCCAGATGTATGGCATATGCATATAAGCCTCAGTAGAATACAGATAGGGACCACATATCTTGAAGAACCTCTAGTTACAGGGAAGTAGCCTCCTCTTGTAAATATGAGGTATTGTCAGAGACTGAGATGTCAAAAGAAGTAGTGCTGGAATATATTGAAAAATTAAGCAGTATCAGTTGCCAGTTAAGGATCATATCGTATATCCAAGAATTCTGAAGGAATTTAGGAATGAGGTGGTTGAGCTGTTAACCAAAATCTGCAATCTTATTAAAATTAGCTTCTATCCTGGAGTATAGTAAATGCATCTATTTTTAAAAGAGTACATGAGGTGATAGTGAGACTTATAGACCAATAAGCCTTACAACAGTACTGGGTAAATTGGTTGAAATGGAAACTACAAATTTTAAAAATAGAAATAGAATTCTATAGCACCTGGATTATCTTGTTATGATGGGAACTAACCAACACAGCTTCTGCAAAGTAAAATCATGCCTCAGTAATCGCTCAGCACACCCATCTAGACATCTGTGTACCAGTGAAGTGTCTGGTGTGGTGTGTTTTCTCGTAGAGAAATATGAGGTCAGGGTTAAGGTTTTCCTTTATAGTGAAATCTTAAGGAATGTGTATACATAGTGTATGTGTTGCCGGTATATGGGACTTTTTTTTTTTTATAGAATGGTAGGGTCTGTCGATACAAATAGTGAGTATGACTGATGAAGGAATCCTAAAATATATCTTAACTGGACATATCCTTGTTTACGGTTTTGTTTTCTCCTTAAGCAAACTTACCATTTTTAATCAAGTTTTCTCTTTGTGGGATATTATGTTCAAAAAGTTTTATGACAGCTGTTCAGTGTTCTGATTAACTGTTGGATTTATACTTACAGGCTATCATTATGGTGTTAAATGTTCCCCCCCTCCCAACCCCTTTGCTTTGACTTTTAGTGGCAATAAAGTGCGGTAAAAACAAATCTAATCACCAGGAAGCTTTGCAGATTCTTTCTTCAGCTCGACTCAACCTGCGTGGATTGACATCCAAAGCAAAGGTGAGATTGGTTTAGAAATATCTCAGAGGAAAAGTCTCTATGACTTTATCTCTAGTTCTGATCCCCCAGCCCACCTCCTAAATAGAAGACATTTATAGATCAGATAATGCCCATGAATCACATTACATTATAGAGGGATGCTTATTTCTGCTTAGTTAAGGGTCACTATTATAAGCCAAATTTTTCTCTCCCCAGCTTTGCCTAAACCAAACCAATCATCCTGACATTTCACAGGCCAATTCTTAGCTCAAGTTAGAATTTTATTGGAAAATGTCACGCAAACTGGCACAGGTGGTTTGGAAGATTGGAAGGTTTCAGAAATTGAGTTATGTTTTACTTCTGGGTTATTTTCCATATGTGGATGACATGAGAAGAATGCCAGGCAGGAAACCATTCTGGGAGCAGGGGTTGTGGGAGACCATCTGAGAAGCACTGGGCTCCAGCTCTGCACAGATGGCAAAATCTGCCAGAATTATTGTGACTCGGCATTATTAAATATTTTTTTAAATTCCTAGGCAAAATATTTTAAACTGTAGTTAGGTGTAAACAAACATAACACTAAGCTTTTTTGAAAATGCCATAAAAATGTGACAATTCAAAAATAAAATTGAAAATTTGTAGCTATGCAGTCATGCTTAATTCTGTCCCTGTACAACCATCAACATTCTATCCTTCACTCTTCCTTCCCTTCACTGTACTGTGTAAGGTGTACTCATTTTTTAACTAAGGCCTGCTCCTGAATATATTTTTGTTGAATAAAAATTAATGTTCCTATCTGATTTTTAAGATAGTTTCATCCTGTGTCTGTACTTAGGCAGCGTGTGTAGAATGTGAATTACAGAGCATAGGTTTTATATACATTATAAACTTGGCTAAACTTGGTTCTCACCATTTAAGTACTGTAATTTAAGGATCTGGGCCTAGGAAGTTTGTATCTCTAGATATGCTGACTCCATGACTAATGGCACTTGTTTAAATGCTGACTCCAGTACCTCTTGGGAATACTGGTAAATTATTGCCGTTTGTGTGTTCTGTTTTGATTCAGTAAATAGTAAAGGACTGTATGTCTATTCTTTAGACTGAGTATGACTCTTGAAAGGAGGCAGGAGTCCCTGGCATGAGTGATGTAAACACAAGTCCAGGTGGTTTAAATCATTCTGTGTGGTGCAATCTTTGGAAAATTAAGAATCAGAGTCTAGTAAAATGTGTTCTTAATTCCAAAAGTTACTGATGAAATGGACTTGTATGTTCCTGGCAGATAAGGGCGTCTAAGTTTCTGGCCGTTCTAAGAGAAGTGAAATGGGCAGGATTAAGTTGCTTGGGTGATCTGAATTGACTTTTCTGTATGTTCCAATTTTTTGTCTTAAATTTTAAACTTCACAGTGCACTTCCAAAGTTGTTTGTGTTTTGTTTAAATACTATCCCCTTCGAAAGTTTAGTGTTATACATATCTGCTCAGCAGTAACTCCAATATAGCCATTTTTTCACCTGGTTCTTGTATTTAGTTTGAGGACTCGGTGTTTGGGGTTTTTTTTAAACAAAAGAACAAAGTACTGTTCTTTCAAGGTACTAAGAATGATCTTAGGTCTTAGACTAGTGACTTGTTCTTCAGAGGAAAAGAAAGAGCAGAGAAAATAATTAAAGATCAAATTCTAAAACTTCCTGACTAGTAGAGGTGATATGAACAAATCAGTACAATTTCTATTAAAGTAAATCATGCATATCTAGTTGATTAGTCTAGTTGACTAGTTCTTTAATAACGTTAAGAAAGTAGTGGATTAAAAAAAATGTCAGTGTAATGTAAATAATGCTGAGCCAGTGTAAATTGACTAGCTGCATTACACAGAAAGGATCTAACTTGCCTGCCAAATTCCTAGTTTGAGTTTGCTGGGCTGAGTGTCCAAAAAAATCGTATGTGTAGTTGTTAAAATGAGCAAATCTATATTTCTGTAAGAAGGATTTCTTTGTTCAGTGGCAAAGCGCTTGTGAAACAAGTTGGTGACTCTTGTTCGGATCTCCATAGCATACTTGTGTTTATATGTCCATCTTATTTTCTTATATTTTGATGGTGGTGGTGACATATATATCCCATAGCAATCCTTATACCCTTCGTTAGTTTTTATCCTATCTAAATTTAGGCTTCATTCTGTCTTTTAGTCATTGAGTTTGACAAAGTGAATCACTCTACACGCTTCCTTTGGATCAAAAACATGACATTTATGGCCAGATTTCCCTTTTGATCACAAGCATGACATTTATTCTGCCACCATATTCATGCTAAGTGGTACCTCACTCCTCAAATAGTCCCATACATTTCAATGAGACTAACTTGAGGAAAGCAACATGACTAAGCATAGCAGAATCTGGCTGTCAGGTAGCATTGTCTTTTAGTGGACAGTACAAAGGAGTGACTCCGGAAGTCTTGAGATCTAATCCCAATTTTAGTACTAACATGTTGTATGACTTTAGGCCAGGGATCGGCAACCTTTAGCACGTGGCCCGTCAGGAAAATCCGCTGGTGGGCCGGGACTGTTTCTTTACCTGCAGTGTCTGAAGGTTCAGATGATTGCAGCTCCCAATAGGGGCTGCAGGAAGCAGCGGCCAGCAATTCCCTTGGCCCATGCCTCTTCCTGCAGCCCCCTTTGGCCTGGAACGGCAAACTGCAGCCAGTGGTAGCTGCGATCAGCCGAACCTGCGGATGCTGCAGGTAAACAAACTGTCCCGGCCTGCCATCAGATCTCCCTGATGGGCCGCATGCCAAAGGTTGCCGATCCCTGCTTTAGGCAAATCATTTAACCTCTCTGCCTCACTTTTCCTACATGTAAAGGAAGAATTGCAGTATTTTACAGGATTTATTGACAGTGAAGTTTTAAAAATATAAATCACTGTATAAGTGCTTAGCCTTATTATTACACGTCAGCTTCTTGTTTTCTGTTGATTGAGTTAATTAGTGACAGATGCCTGCAGCCACCCACTCATGTTCTGACATCAAATGTGACAACATGTTTATTTTGGCAATCTGGAACAAATTATATACAGTATAACATACTAGGAAAAATTACCAAGTCACTTAAAATACAGAACAACTACTTCTTTACCAAACAGATCAGTCCACACAACAGTGTTGTGTGAACTTCAGTGTGAAGGGAGGGTCTGATCCTGCTTACTGAGTTTAATGGCAAAACTTCTTAGATTTTATTAGTGGCAGGAGTGGGCCTTAAAAGAAGCCCGGCTTTCCTTGGCAGACTGGAGAACGTCAGGAGTACTGAAAAGGAAACACGCTCTGAGTCTGAGAAGAGAGTGATAGTCATTCACTTCTATGTGTGCCTTCTGTTTGTTCACCACAAAGTGGCATTGGTGGGTCAAGTTAAGATGAGAGAGACAACCATGGATGACAAAAAAAAAAAGAAGAGAGAGAGAGAGAGATCAGAGATCATGATATGCAAATTGGGGACTTTAATTCTGTTTGTAGGATGATCTCACTGCATCTAGTTTAGATTATGATGACTGTAAATATAATTAAATATTGTTTTTGTGTTTATTATGCAGCAACTTTTTGCCGATGCAACAAGCAGTGAGGTTTCCAGTGAATTAGTTGATGAAGTAACAGCTATGGACAGCATGATTGCTGAACTGCAAGAAATGAGCAACCAGCTGAGGAATCAGTGCTGAGATAAAAATAAGATTTCCTAGAAGGAAGACAACGATGGCATACTTTATTTGCTCCAGTTTCTGCTGATGAAATTGCAACAACTGTAACACACAACACAAATTTTTAATAAATGTTTTCCTGTACAACGTTGATGTCCTTACAGTCAGATTCCCTAAGCTTCTAAACTGCTTTTAAGGTCATGTCTACTAAATCTCTTAAAATTGTGTGTCTGCTTCTGTAGGGCCTGAGTTTTCTGGAATAAAACCAATTGTATTTATAAGGCATTTATTTAGGATTAGTTCTGCCTGAGTGCATTATATAATTGGCTCCAGGATATAGCTGTACACTGCTGCAGAGTGGAGACAGTAAGCGATCCCAGTGATGTTATAGCATAGGAGGAAATGCAAAATGATTTAGATCTTGTCTTAATTGGGAAAAGGGGAAAGGTGAGACATAGGAAAAATTCTAGTTTGTTACGTTTTTTTATTTTCTGTTATCTCAAGCAAATGTCGTGTTGTCCAAGTAGCTGGGTACTTGCAAGGTGAATATTTAATGACAAGTTATTAAATTAAAAATATAGTGATGGACACAGCAGTATTCAACTTGCATCATTTAAAGTAGAGGCCATGAGACCTGTAGGGAGACTTATGAAACTCAACCACCAGTTGTTTTTTTGGTTTTGTTTTGTATTTTTTTAAGAATATCTACCTTTTGGTACAATCTGGTTTATTTCAAAAGAAGAAAAAAATGCTTTTTAGAATTATTTTTGAGTCCTAGCACTAAATCATCTCTGGAAGGAAAGTTTTAGCACTATCAGGGAGGTGTGAAATCCATCAGAGGCAGAGAAATCTCCCAAGTCCTCCTTTCTACATGGTGGCAGATTTTAAACAAGAACCATCCCACCATCACCTTGGACACATGTTTCTTATATTCAGCAGTCTTGATTTTCAAAATAAATAATGATGTCCACTGATTCTGTGTAGCATACCCATTTTTAACAAAAAGTTGAAGATGTGGAGCATGAGCTCATTTAGCAATCTGGGAGTAAACCCTCATTATTTTCCACTTACACACATCTATCTACCCCTTAAATAACAGTGGAAGTAGCAAACTTAAAATTTGTGCATAAATAAATAATTAGTAGTACTCTGCAATTAGGGTTTAACTATCCTTCTCCATTGATTGTTTTTACTATAACTATTTCTTCACTTGATGTGGCCACTTGTAAGGGTCCTCCTCTCTTCTAATGCAGCCTGTAGTGTTCCATCCCCACCCCACTCACTTTGCAGACATCCTCCATTGCACAGAACATAGACAGCTTTGACTTTGACCCTGACTGATTCTGTGTCTGGCCACTTCTCTAATAATAGATACATCATGGAAGACTTCATAGAGGTCATGGAGACTAAAGCTACCTTCACTCTGAGATATCTGACTTCTATACTCCTCAATTCAGCAACATTTGACTCAGAATCTCAAGAGGAGACAGTTGCCAATTAGGGCAGAGGGAACCCTATCATTGCAAGAACTTTGGTCTTCTCCCACTTCACAATGGAAAACTTCCTAGCGTGGCATGAGGACTGCCATTCCCACCCACACAGTCCTAAATTCCTAAATTTGGGTATTTCCACTGAAGCCTGCCCCTCACAAGCCCAAAACTGCTGCAGCCTCATGGATTATTGGTGATTCTGTGGCCCCAGAATCCTCCTGATGAGTAAATGATGGAAATTGGCAAGCTTCCTGGCACCAAAGCTAATCTGTTTTAGACTGGATACTGAGGTGGCTGGGTATACTCCCATTTCCAGGATAGAAGGTGACTTTTAACATGAAGGAATACCAGCCTCTGCTTTTAAACTCCTGCCTCTCCTCTTCTGTGATTCTATGTTAGAGCATGATAAGGGAAAGATCAGATAACTTATCAGGACAGCTAACACGGACTGTCTCAGTACTCTAAATTTGGAAGAGACTTTTGTTCAATTCTTGATGAGCAGGAAAATTATTTAGTACAATTTGTTTACATGGGATTATCTCCCAAAGTGTGCTGCACACTTCCCAAGCAGGGGGATGACACTGTCTCTGTGCTGAAGAGGTTAAAATGTAAAAAGAGACACACAAAAGGAATGGGAAATGGATAGAGAAGGAACCAGCAACAGTGGTCAGGGTAATTGTGAGAGATCTACTTATTGGTTTAATGTTTCTGTTTTTAAATATAAACTAACACCAGCTTCTTTGTAGTTTTTACTAGTTCCTATTACAAACCTCAATTACTTTTCATTTTAAACATTTCTCTTTAAACCCAGCTCAGCTATACCCTTGTCCACGACCTCCAATCCACACCAACCAGGCTGTGAATGCAACCTGTCAGATGGGGTCCTCTACAGCGCCCTCCTAAGAATCTTCCCCCCACCTCTGCACAAATCCCCAGTGTGCAGGGAGATGAGAATCCAAAACAGTCACTGCTGATGTAAAAAGATAGTGGAGGCCCCTCATGTCTGGCCTGCCAATTAGTACTTGTCATTAGTTGATCTCCTGGTGTAGAATGTAAATGAGGTGTTCATACCGATTCTTTTAAATCTGTTGGTTGCCTGTAATACTACTGGTGGAACATGACTAGAGACCCTAGCAGCAGTAGGTGAAGTTGCTCCTTTCTAAAAGATCCCAGTGGGTAGTTTTGGGCAATTGCTCATCTGCCCAGAGGGTTGTGTCATGCAGGATTCCACAGAACTCCATTCTGTTAACCCTCTTGTTCAAAAGGTTACATAGGGCTATTAGAACTATTCATGATAAATATGGACTACAGCATGTTCCACATGCAAATAATTCTCTTCTCCCTATCCATCTCATCCAACGCTGCTAACTCAGTCAAGCAACTTACGAGGGTAAAATAGAAGACTCGTGCATAAGATGCGGAAAAACAAGCAAGACATGAGTTTCTGGATGGCCAGATAAACATGGAGCCATTGTTACTGCTTTCATTTGCACACAGCAAAAAGTTGTGACCTTTCCTTTTGAATGTGGACCTTGGCACCCTTACCAGGCCTTTATCATCTCCAGGAAGGATAATGTCTATGTGAGTCTACACATTAAAACCATTTGGAAATTACAGGTGGTGCAGAATTCACTGGCTCACCTGTTACGCGGTGTTTCACACAAAAAGCACACTCCACCTGTAATCTGCACTAGCTGCCATTCAGTTCTGAGTGAGACTTAATATGTTGATTCTGATCCAGTTTGGGTTCTGGTTGTGTTAGAGCCCCACCTCTATCCTCATAGGATACCAGCACAGTTATGATCTGGTAGGTGATCAAGATAACAGCCACTAGTGGCAGGGCATTCTTGTGTCCTGGACTCTGGAACTCACCTCTAACCTTGGTCTGCTCTTGAACAGCTACTCTATTTTCTGAGGCTTTTTTTGGAGGAGGGGATGACCTGCATAAAGTTATGAAGGGTCTGTATGGTAGGGAGGGCAGTTTGCCTGCATTGATCAAGAGATCTTTTTTTTTTTCAGGTCATTAACCTAATAAGGTTCAAAGCTACATTATTAAAGGTGTGCTGTATTTTTAATCAATGATACCTAGATTCTAGAACTGGTACTTTTATAAATTTGAGCAAGTGTGTGTGTGTGTGTGTGTGTGTGTGTGTGTGTCTATAGAGAAAACAGTACAGTGTGGTGGTAGTCAGATTTTTTGGGGATGGATGCATTACTCATGAGTAGCGAGGAATCTGTAAGGATGGTGAAGCCACAAGTTAGTCAAGTAGGTCATCCCAAACAAATGCCACATCACATCATCTTACATTTTCTTTCTCCCACTTTTTTTATCCCTCCACCCATAATACTAACCTGCCTTAGTACCACATAGAGGCCTAAGAGGTGGGGGTGGGGGAAAACTGGAATAATTAAGACCTAAAATGGTGTGGGGTTTGTATAGTAATAATTAGGACACATTTGTAAAATTAAATTAAGGAAATATATGTGCTTGGGTTACAACAAGGGCTCTATTTTCAGAATGAAATGTATTGATTTTATCTTGCTCTGCATTACTTTTTCCCCGAGAACATATAAACCAGATTTTTTTTCCTCATCCATTTTTGCTCAGGCCCAGTCTCCACAGTGGATGTGAGATTGACCAAACCTACTGGTGGATGAGTGAAGCCAAGGAAACACACATCATTTACAGGCTAATATACATGTAAATTACATTTTTCTGAGTTTGTTTATCCAAATGTGAATAAAACTGTGTCCCTTCAAGGCTAAATGCAAATGGAGCAGGAAAGAAAAAGCAGCTGGTGACATACAACTTGTGTTCTCTGAACTTAAAAATAAACTGGAGCATGGGTAGGAAAATCTTATTTTAAACAGGAAAACACTACTACCATGTGAATGGAATTGTTGTCAGTCGGATTACTCAGACTGGCTGCTGTGTGTTCCAAAAGCAATTTTTGAAAATAGATTTGGAGATGGAAAACGCTTTTTTTCTTTAAAATGTTTGTGTTTATGTCAGAGAGAGACAGGGTTGGTAGTCCTGGAGTTGTGAGGATAGCTGATCTTAAGGAGTGTAAATCCAGCAAAAAAAGCATTGCACCACAGTGACTGGAACACATGCTGTCCTAACTTTTCTAGAGTGCTCATCGCCAGATCGATGACCTACATGTTTAAAAGTGATGTTGAGTGCCCAACTAGAGATAGCTTAAAGGAGCCTGGTTTTTAGAGAGAGAGTGCTCAGCACTTCTGAAACATCAGATCCCTTCAAGTTGTTACAAGTTGAGCACCCAAAATCACTATTTACATCTGAAACTTTAGGCCAAAATGGACCATCTAAATCAGTTAGTAGAAGGCAGTGGATCAAGAATTAGAAAATATTCATTACAGTTCCACAAGAAGAATTTTGCCTCATGAGCTGGAAGGTCCCCAAAGCACAAAGTGTGACTGCCTTAATTTTGACCTTCCTATTTTCTTTGTTTAGGCGCTCAGTGTTTTCACATAGATTTTCTATTGGTTATCTCTTTTTTATTTTTTTAACATACCGAAGCATTACAGTTGCTCTAATTTATATTTTAAAAAGTTACATTTTCCACTGGTCTGAGTCCAAAGCTGCTTCACCTCACCTATGTAGCAACTATTACAATACAAACACTGATGCAG